AAAACAATCTAGCCACCTGATTTTCCACGTATGTTGTGATATTGTTCCACCATCTGTGTACACCATTCATTGTCTCATTAGGTAAAAAAACAAAATATTGCTTTGTGATTCACTTGTTATTTTAAAAATTGTATATGTGCTTTTTTTCTTGACAACCCCCCCTCCACCACCTTTTGATACAATGACAGAATGAGCTAGAAGGAAGTGTGTCAGGTAGAAGAGATTCCAGAAATGTAATTTTTTTACGTTGCCATGAAAACCGGTGAAAACACATTCTATGATGTTTATTAAAACTATCAAAGATTCTTTACAACCAGTCCATCTCTGGATTTAAGAAACAACTACATAAGATAGTGTACAAATTATTACTAATGCTTTCAATCTTGAAATTGGTCATTTAAAGACACATATTCAATTTCCATATAACTAAAGGTTAGTTAATTGAGCCAAGCTCCTGGCAACCAGTGAAGTGCCAGGATCTCACTGGCACTCTGGCCAGAGCATCCCGCTGAGCTCCTGGCAATGAGTGACATCACTGGTTACAAATGCAAGAGCATCCCCCCAAACTGCTGGAAACTAGTGATGTCACTGTTTGCCAGGATCTTGGCAGGATGCCGTGTCTACCCCCCAACCCCCACTGCATCAGGCAGCAAAAATGCTAGGGACACCACTGTAAGTAGCATACAGGTAGTAGCATACAGCATGCAAGGTCCCCGACATAGCATTGTGGGGTTACTATGGACTCCCTATTTATGATTTTATACAGACCCTTTCTGTGTAAGTGTATTTCTCTAATATATGTTCTGTACACTTTGAAATTATATTCTCATACAATAGTGAACAGTAGAAACATTTCTCAAGCTTTTATACTTGTGTGGGTGTGCTGATTAACCTTCGTTATTTATTTTTGCTATTGGGTCTGTGAGATGAGACTGCTATTAATTAAAGCACCCCTTGCTTGACTTCACATCTATTTCCTTTAACGTATAGCATAGTGTGCAGTTTCCATATATAACTAGATGAAATAAATATCACCATGGAGTGCTGTGTGCTTGCTTATGCCGGTACATGTAAATTAGCCAGCTGGCTGTTAGCTGGTGGCAGCTTATTTACTATCGTTGAACCAGCATGGCTTTACCCTTCCCCCTTTAATGTAATGACAATAAGTGAGAAATCCTGCCACTCTTCTTTGACATAACTGAATGATTCCATCTGCTTCATCAAGGCAAAATAAATTAATTGTGTGTCATATTTTTAATATATTGTATAAAATGCATGTGCTCATAGTGCCTAGAGGGAAGTAATGGAAGGTATCGGATTTAATTATTAAAAAGTTGTGTGACTGATGCTGTTCCTTCTTTCACCATCTCAGCAGTTTTATGTATTAACTTAAACTAGTTATGCTGCTTTTTCTGCTATTGTAGGCATGTTGCAAAACCTACGAATTGATCTATGTCTCTGGATGGCTTGATGTAGACTGGTTTTATAGACTGAATATTTTGTTGGTATAAAGAGATCAGTTAAAGGGTGGTAGATGTATTTTGGGGGTCTAAAGGTTTTTCTCAATATTAAAGAGGAACTATAGTGTTTTTTTGTTATACATGTGCAGGAGGTCAACCTAAAACCTGACTCAAGGTTTTTTTTGTCATAGTCTCAAGCTGCTAAAAACAAAAAATCAATATGGAGTTGCCCCCTCCCCCTTTTTTTTAACCACAAGATGTCCTTAGTCTTTTTTGAACCCAAAAGGTTGAGGAGACACAGGTGCACTGCCCTCAGGCCTGGTTCACACCTGGGCGTTTTACAGCGTGTTCCTACATGCTGTAAAACGCCCAACATGTGAAAACCAATGATTGCCTATGGGCATGGTTCCCACCTGGGTGTTTTACAGTGCGTAGGAACGAGCTGCAAAACGCCCTACGCCCAAAGAAGTACAGGACCTTCTGTACTTCTGCCATGCGTTTCCATTGGTATTCCCGAGTGTGGAACGGGGTTAACAAAGCGGTAACCCCGAGCCACACTCGGGAATACTGCGTACAGGTCTTAACTTCCCCGCTGTGTCTTCGGCGGCAACCGACTTCCGGGTTCCGTCCCTTGCAAGCGGCCGCATTGCAGGGGGTGGAGCCCGCAGGAAGTTTAAAAGTGAAACTAAAAATTTTTTTATTTTTTTCAAATAGAGAAAATAAAGGAAAAAAACAAAAAAAAACATCATACCGCCAATGAAACGAGCGTTTCACTGAACAAAAAAACGCAAAAAAAAACAAGCATGAAAAAAACGCTCAGGTGTGAACCCAGCCTCAGTGTATTGCTGCAGAGAGTGACACTGAGGTCATCACTTCAGTGCCCCTCTCTTCATCAAGGAGGACTGTCTATCAGAATAAAAAAAATAATGAGGACCCTGCCTCATATGTCCGGCCTGAAGACTTTGGAAGTAGGTAAATATATAAATCCCACAACATACCATACTGCTGGGGGCCTCCATGGGGGTAGCGGGGTAATCATTTGCTGAGGGGCTAAACCCAGAGTAGGGTTTTAATGTAAATAACAGAACTAAGAATAAGAAAACATTTTTAAAAAGCTTCTATGTTATTATTTTAATAGGTATAATGGAGCGTAAAATTGTGTTTTTTCATGATATGAATGTGATTTAGTAATGCTGACACATGCCGTATCAATTCATGTGAAATTCAATGATAGGTTGACCAGACACGTTATGGTGAGGAAAACTAAAAAAGAAACTAAAAATTCCCCCAGTAAATTAGTGAGAAACACAGTAGAGGCTTTTTTTTTTTAAATATAAGGTATTTGCAGGTCTCGCTTTCAAATCCCCCAAAAATGAGTGGTTCATTTCTCATTTTAGAATAGTGGCTATTGCCATGCAAGTCATTCCTTTCTACCCCTGTGGTCAACTGCACATTCAGAACTGCTGGTTTATAGTACAGATATGACATAGGTAATTTTGGTGCAATTTTTGGTAAGGGGACCGAAAAAATCACTTGGATCTGATGACGGATTCCCACAATCAGGTATTTTGACCTCCTTCACCCTTACCTGTAATACAATTACTTTACAGTCATGCAAAAAATATCCTATGATCATCTGAAACTGATCATGCAACTTTCTGCATTGTGCAATATATCAAAGAGGCACCCAACTTTTTTAGAATTACAGTTTTTAAGACAATAGGAGAAAACTAGCAAAATATTTGACAAGCTTTGTGCAATTTCCATGCACACATTGCCTGGCCAACTGACAATCACAACACAATCATCTGTGTTTATGCCTGAGCTTGGCTTGGCTTAAACTTTTTGACTCTTGTCTAGCAGCAGAGGTGGAGGGAGGAGGGTTGCAGAAGCCCCGCAAGATGGAAGGCTCCAGTATCATGCAGTCATCTTTTTTTTCAGGCTTTTGAATGATGTTTAGTATCACCCAAAGGTGTGAATAAAGCCAACAATATTTAATCTCCGATGTCCCATACTTGCTTTAATTTTTGTAATAGTATTCATATAACAATAGGATGCAGGTTATTTTGAATACCACTACTACATCAGCCATAACTAATGCCCTTCACTATGCCATTCTAATTTAAAAGCATGAACTGTTCCGGGACCTATGGCCATAGGTAGACAGAAGCCTTCACATGAACAAAAAGTGGGGAGATAGCTACTCATGCTCAGTCAAACTTGCCGTTTCTCACTGAAAAGATGAACGGATCAATTGTTTCTAACACAGATATCCTAGCAACATATTGAAAATCTCTCTGTGCTATCATAAGTACTCAAATAGCCTAGCCCACACACCTGAGCATTGCATTGCATTGGGCTATCAGTTGAAGGGTTGGATTCAGCCTTTAATAGCCACTTTCAACCACTTATGAATTGAGTTATTTAAGAGAGAGCTGCACATAAATTATTGATCCTTGCTTGAAGTCGTATTGATACGTTAAAGGAGGCTGCATAAAGCAGAATGATATACAAGTCGCTACAATTCTGCCATTTGGCCCTATGAAATGCCATCTCAGCTTGTAATGGAGATATTATATGAGTGTCACGGTAAATTGAGAAAGTTGTCTTACTGGTTTGCATTAGCAGCTCATTGAATGATTTTACTTGTCACTTAGATATCTTCAATAGAAGATGCAAATTACTCCCTCCTAAAGGCAAAAAAGGGTATTTGCTAAAGGGTATGTAAATCCCAAAAGAATGTAATATATTGCATCTTACCAGTCCAGATGTGGTGGCTGCATTAGTATTTTTTTCTGACACTTTTTTTTTTAGCTGTTGATCCTTCCGATAACTCTTGTCAAGGTGACCATGCCTTACATACTGTACTGTATCTATGGAGAAGCAGTGTTGTTGGATAAAACAAAACAGTTGTTATATTCAACAGCTTAAAAGGGAGCACATAAAAGAAGTTCATTGTATGGTTTACATACATATTAAAGAAGTCACTAAAATACATACTGTCAATACCAAATCATGGTGTGACCTTTGGGATTGTTCAAGCAGCAAATCTAATTATGCCAAACAGGTCTGTGCCTCCCATGAGGCAATTTAGGCGGCTGCCTCAAGTGGCACCCTGGATGAGACTGTGGGGGATGGCACTAAGGCCAGAGTGTCCAAGGGACTCTCAGTCCTTAGTGCAGCTAACAATGAGCCTGGTAAAACCACAGGTTTAGTGTTACTGAGCTTCCTGTCCAGCTACTGTACCTGTCGCATAGGTAGGCAGTGCCAGAGCCTACTCAGTGGCTTTGAGCCTAATGAGAGTGCAGGCTTAGCCTCACTGAGCAAAAAACCTGGCTGCTGCTCCTGTCACATAGGAGTTCTGCTAACGGACGCTGAGACTGCATTTTTTTATTATCATGCTCATCAGTAGGGTTACTGACCAAGGTATCTGTTTTTGTTGTGCATGGGCTGTAAAAATAGCCACCTCAGAGAGAAATTACCCTAGGCATGATCCAGATGCCATGCGTAATATATGTTTTTACTTTTTGTTGTGTACAGGAAGTTCCTCCTGAAAGCTACGGAAACAGAACTCAACCTCCTTCAATGGCTCCTGGAAAGACTAACCATGACGATTTGAATATAATACAACAAGAGAGGCCATCAAGCTTACCAGTAAGTTTTATTTCCACTTCAGATTTGTTTATCAAGTGCATCTTTCTTCCCAGAAGCTTTTTTTTTTTTTTCTGTAGAATATACTGCCTTAGCTTTCCTTTTGGTAAGAATGGAATATGGGATTAATGCACAAAATGACCTTGTATAACACGTCCAAATGATTCTTGGCCAACCTAGTGTTTTGAGACATGCTCCTGGAAGCTGTTCTTGTTTAACAAAGACATTAGCTATTACCATTGCAACAACTGTAATAAGCAGGGTAGAAAGTAATGGTTACTAAGGATGGGGCACTGGCTTGCAAAACTCTTGTAGCATCTGTTTCTGTGGTAAATATTCCCTTAGACTATTTTCTTACAGTGTGTGCTAAAATTATCGATTAATTTAGTATTCTGAAATCTTCAGTGTACTAGGCTTATTTATGAAGGCAGTGGAAACGGCAATGTTCATGGGCTGTAGTTTATAGGCATGTTTGTCACCCTGCAGTGAAGGTTAATCCCACAGAAAGGTATTGTTGTTGCTGCAAGTATTAGAGGCAAACAGTAACTTTTGGAGCAAATTTCTTTATCTTATTTATTCTTTTATTTTTCCGAGTTAATCAGAAGTAGTTAATTAAAAAGTTAGAAAATACCAAGCTTTATATTGCAAATATGATGGGACAAAAAAAATTGTTTTAAAGAACAAAAACCTGGATGTTTCAAGATACTAGTGGATTATAAAGAAGTTTCACATGTGGACTCCTGCACTAAAATTTGATGACAGATTATATATTACTCATAGGGGTCTATGTATAAACAATTCTAAGAGCGATATGCCCTCTGAATCTCTGTGAATGTCCAAGTCGACTGTAATGTTCGAAAAATATTGCATTATGGCCACCAAGTAGAACTGAGAAGTATAGAAAAAAATGCTTATCTCCTATTCTCCAACTCCATCCAGTGGCCATAATGAGGTATTTGCCAATTGTTACATTCGACATAAAAAAACTAAACTATAAGAACATTTATGCCTGTATTCACGCCAAATGAACGTCAACAAAGTTTTACAGGGCCAATGGCTCTGCGAATTGTACATAAATAGAACACATATCGAACACATGTCTTCAAAAGTATGTATTGCCTGCTTTCCTCTGCCAATGGTGAGTATCAATCATGAAAATATGATTTGTAAAAATAAAAACCTTTACAAAAATGACACAAAGAATATGTTCAATTATGCAAAACAAAAGGCGCATGAAGTTATCTGCTGCTTGCTTTTCTGACATGGATACATTTGTACTATTTATGTTTAAAAGGGATAGTATATTTTAAACTTTCCCCAGAATACCATGTATTCTTACATGGACAGCTAATGGTAATGACAAAGTTTATATGATGTTAAATACGGATTATATTAGTATTCCAGATATCCCTATAGGACCAGTTGATCCATGCTCAGTATATATGTTAATTCCTGGAGGAATGTTTTGTGGTGATTTTAATCCACTTAGTTGGAGCATAGTGGCCGACAACAGCAGCACCAATATACAGTAGTATCACTCTCGATCCTGTTAGATTTTCCAGCATATAGCACAGACCAGGAGTAGGGACCATGGCACTACAGCTGTACTTAAAGTACAAATCCCATCATGCTTCTGCCTCTGGAAGTCATGCCTGCGGCTGTCTTGCAATACCTCATAGGACTTGTAATTCCACAAAAGCTGGAGTGCCAAGGTTGCCTACCCTTGCCATGCACTCAATGGATGTTTTAATTTTCAGGTAAAGATTTAATATTTATATTTGAGTTATGGTGACAAATGCATATAAATATTGTATTTAGATATGCAATATAGTTCGTTACTGTAGTTGCCACACTGCACCCGAGGATATGTGGCCAGGGCTTTTATATCGGCATTCACACCAAGCACAGTTTTAAATGGTGTCATTGTCTGTAGCAACCTTATGCTTCTCCGAAGAAGTCCATTGAGTAAAACGCATCAGTGGGATGAGTAGGTTGTACAGATGGAGTCCTGCTTTCCTTCAAACTACTACTCTGAATGATTGCTAGTTGTTTGTGCTGCCAATCGACCACACCATTAACCCAAGAGCATATGTGACTTTGGTAAGATCCACCCTTACATAGTTTCTAGGACGTTGTTTATCGTATGGCTGGAGTACAATTTTTCAGAACATAAGATAAATATAGCACTTGCAAACTTTAAGGAACCACATATGATATGGATATTGACGTTATTGCATGTGTGGAACTGCGGTAACTATTCTTTAGTGCTTATTTAAGTAGGCTGACCTTATGTTTCGTTTTAAATGGGACAGTGTTGTTTTTTTTTTCTTTTTTCCCCCGTCCGGTCCTTTTAAAAAAACTATTTTGTCCCATTTCCCTTAGGAGTGCGTTCTGAGTCTGTGCGTTTCCTTAATGAGACTGGCCGAATTACTATATACCCGAATATGCAAATTACTATATATTCGGGCATATAATAATTTGTTGTATGGGCGTCGCCATCTTGTTGCATCTGATGTCACATAACAAGACACACCACCCTCTTGGGTGCACCAAGATGGCGGCGTCCATTGTTTCTATGCGAGCATGCGTGCATATAGACGCGTCGGCGGTCAATATGCCCGCCGTACATTTTACTTTTTTTCAATGTGCATTTTCAAATCCAGAGCCTCGTTGCCTCTGTATTCGAAATGGCATAATTCATTTTGTCCAAAACTTTTTGCTGTACACATCTACTATATTGTCATGTATATAAAACTTGTTATCCGCTTACTTTTTCATACGAATATCGCAATATTAAAATCGTCCTGTTTTTGGCTCAAGGAAATATGGTCAGCTTATGTTTAAATAATTTTAAGACCTTCTTGAGACTAATTTCTGTATTGTGTCAATTGCTACTGGGACACTGACTGTTTGATGGGTGGAATGCAATTCCTGCAAGCATTTGTGTATACACTACAGCTCTAGTAATCTCCAAGCAATTATATTATGTGGATGTTGATTTCTGCTGACACAGGTGCATGGGAGAGAATGTTATCATTTTATTAGTGGATATCCTTTAAAGTTCCAGGATTGTATATCCTTGGGGACACATAAACATCTCTCTTTTGGAGTATATATGCACAAATAATTTTTCTGTCTTGACATTATTTACATTTGCATCTACAGGCTGAGGAGTACAAATAGCCTATGCTATAATGTGTTGGATAATCTAACAACAGGATTGAGTGTTATACTACTACTATAAATACTGGTGCTGTTATTGTCAGCCACAGTAGATCCAACTAAGTGGATCTACAGTAAATCGCAACTAAATATTCCTCCATGAATAATTGTCCATACTGAGCATGGAGCAACCATATCCATAGGGATATCTTAAGTACTTATATACTGCATATTAACATCGTATGAATTTTGTCTTATGCTATCCATGTAGGATCACTGGTCACTGTGCTCTCAAGTTGTACGACCATAACCGTTTTGAAAAAGCAAGCAACAGACAACTGGATACGCCTTTTTGTTTTAAATAATTCCTTTTAATGGTGGTGTTTTTGTGAAGGTTTTGAGTTTTTAGGTGATTGATGCCATAAACAACTGTCCAAGGTCCTGTAGCACACCTTACCGGAATTCCCATAGGCAAAAGTGTTTGCTCGCAATGACTGCAGATATGTCACCAGCACTCCAGAATGACAAACACATCAGTTTTAGTGAATCTCCATTTTTTTATTGGTAAGAGGTCACTCAAAGTAGAGTCAAGCGCTTTCGGGGCCACGCAGGGTCCCCTTCACCAGGCTTAAAGCCTGATGAAGGGGACCCTGCGCGGTGACATATTTTTACAACAATTGATGCCATAAACAGACACAAGTCGACAGTACATAATTTTGAAGTACTATAAGTGATAATGTGTTGCCCAACAAGTCATTAACCTTTTTAATATGTAGCCAATTGTTTACATTTGTCTGTGGATATTTGTGTTAATAAAGATATTTTATAATCCGTTGGTAACTAATCATAACTCCAGCTAGTTTTTTTGTTTTTAACATTTTAATTTGTAGAGGATTCCTTTCCACCTCTAATTTTCTCCGTATATATCGGCAGGGAAAAAAATCAATGTATCTTTATATCTATATTAATTTTAAAAACTAAATTAGGTCTGTGGATGTGTGAATATTTAGATATATATAAATAACTGAGACCAGAATAAGAGCTTCAGTCTAGATTAAATAAATTGGCAGTCGTCAGTCTTCAGAGAGACAGCCCATTGGATCAACATTGCCATGTAAGAGACTGGTTACCCTGTTAAGAAAGGAAGATATTTACCCTGTTGTTGTAAGTAAAGAAATTGAAAGTAAAGAATTGCTTATTGAAGACCTTTGCCAAAAGTTAGATCATAGTATCCTTGTGAGCAATTCACTGATGTTATGGTCACTTGTTTGTAAAAAAAAAATAACGAAACGGAAGAACTGCACTGTCTTTGATTTCTGTTGGGTGAGGAGTGCTGGTTCTCCTCAACCATTGCACACCAATGTAATTTTGTTGCAGAACCAACACGCAGACTTCTCTCTCCAGGGGTGCATTGCTAGGGCATTGTTCTAGGCCTCACAGACCAAGACAGTCTAAACTCCTAATTTGCCAATCCAGACCACTGACTTGTACCACTCCACAAGCTGAAGACAGACCTGTCATTTGGGCACTTGGCAGTAAGAAAATACATTTAGATTTGAACCTGTTCTGCAGATGACATTACAAGTCACTAGATACACCCAAGGCATGACGAGATAGCTGAGGAGGAGAGGACCTCGCATGGTCACTTGATGGCAATTTTGATGCTAATAGGTAGTACAGGGCAATGGGAGAGTATGCATGTTGAGGTGTTTGTTAGATATTTGCAAGCTATACTCCTTAAAATACAGATGGTGCAAGTGTGTGCCACCCTCACTTGACACAAAATACACTATTTCTGTTACTGGAAGTAGTCAGTCCACTTTTACTGCACAGTAGCAAAG